AATTTATTATATCATAAAATTAATACATTACGACAGTTGTTTTAATAGATACTAAATATTTATTTATACCAGTATATCAAGAGATATAGCTTATTGGATATATAACAATTGAGAATGTATAATATGAAATGGATAAAAATATATCATATATAAAATTTACATCTCAATATATGCATGTTTATTTGTTTTTATCAAAACTTAAATATTACAATAGAATAAGCATATATATAATATGTATTTTATTTATAACTAGTAATAATTTAATTTAATATGATAATATGTAAACAGGAGAATATATAAATAGGTACAACTATTAGATATTTCCTTGTTATTATGTATCAATTTATGACACGTGCAATTATTATAGACATAAATAATTTCAATTATCATAATTGATTTATTATAATAAAAGAACTACTATACATAGAATCCTAAAACCTGAATGCTAAAGCATATTTATGATATTACTTAAATTATGACAATAAATAATATACGTATGTGTCAAATATGGTGCATTAATTTCATACGTATATATAGATATAGAATTACCTAAATTCAACTTGAATAAACCTTTAAAATATATGCGAATTATAGTTAATATAAATATATAATAAAATAAAAATAAAACATATTTATATATTTAATACACAATAACGTTGCAGTATTGTCCTTATTTAATGAACAACATAAATAAACAAAAATTTCACATAATGTACAAAATGTATATATGTATTATGAAAATTAATATAAATAAAATTAATAAGCCTTTTCCTTTTTATATACAATAGTAAGTTAAATAATTTTAAAGATTCTGAATGAATGTAAATACACTTTTCACATAAAATCAAATAAGGAAGAATTTAAAATTCTATATCCTAAGGCATAAAATAAAAAACTGAATTTTAATACACTGAAATATTTTATCATTAAATTAACATATTAAGGTCTTTTTTTAATTTATATAATATATGAATTATTTTATTTTTACTAGATCTTTTTGATAACAGAATCCTTAAATAATTTGGTAACATTATGCTACATGAGTTTTAAAAAAAATTCATTTAATGAAATACTTATTTAATCGTCAAATTTCGTGGAACTGCATAACAACTTATAACTATCATTCCAATAAGCACAATAAGATATTTCTGATATTTCGGATTCCTCCTTTTCTTCGTTAATACGACTCAGCATATTTATTATCTTTTTTATTGCACGTGCAAGCTGGAAGTATATAGTGTTATATAATTAAAAATAAAAAAAAAATTATTACGCATTAAAAACATATTAATATTATAATTTATTTATTTTGATTTATTAAAACTCTTATTATATATATATATATATATAAATATAACTACATCATATATAATCTTATAAATTACACTAATGAAAGGGTATTAAAAAAAAAAATTCAAATAATGAATATAACTTTTGTTATGATATTTACTACATAAGTTTATTTATGATACCATGTATCTACAAGAATTAAATATATTTTTTTAAAATATTTATTTCTTCTTTTATGTTTATATTACATTATTAATATTTCTTACCAGTACAATATGTATTAAGTTTTTTTATTGTATTTCTTATGTTATAGTTCTTATATGCAAACTCCTACGAATATATACCTAATGTACAATTTGATTTAGATATTCATTGTTTATAGGTAATATATATTTTTATACCATTCAAAGATATGTTATATTAAATAATTGTTAAATGCATAATTTATTAACATTAATTTACTATTAAAATCTGTATATTCATATATATGTAATTAAAGTATATTAGTAAATTTAAAGAAATTCAAAATGAGCATACAAATAGAATTCTAATTTGCTGATGTTTTCTGTAGCACGATATGTTATTAAATAAATGCTGTAAAGTACAATAATATACAATATATTACATTGATGTTGTAATGTTTGATTATAAATATTTTGAAAACAAAATTGAATGAAAATATATCTTTTAATTACGTATTAAATTTGCGTAATTATTTATTGAGTAATACATGATAATGAGGAATTTTTTTAATTTTGGTTTTATTTATGTAAAAGTTTTATATCTGGTGATTAATGCGATAAAATATAATGATAATAAAAATGAAAAATATAATATGTCCGTTATTTCATCCATTATACTATAAAATTGTAAAATATATTTATATATTCTATAAGAATATAATTTTTTTCTTATAATTTAATCCTATGTAAAAGAATACTATATTTTTAAAAAACATTGAATTAAAATGATTGAATATTATTCAGGAATGTTTATGTATTATATATACTTTTTCTTAATATATTATTCTATAATTACGTTAAATGTTTTCTTATATAAGTGTTTATATTATTAATAGAATATGTATGAAACATTGCACGAAAGACAATTTTTCAAAATATTATATGCATATGCACATTATAAATGAACAAATATATATATGACAGAGTATATCAAAGAGTATATTTTATTATAATATATAAATTGTATATTATCATAATACGTCTTATGCAATGAAGAAATAATTAATTCTCTTAAAAAAGAAGACATACTTGTTATTGTAAAAATTTTTTGCTTTTATAAAATTTAACTAAAATTAATATGACTATTGTATCAGTATAACTAAAAAATGTACCTAATCTACATACATGGAATACGTGATGAAAAAAATATTTATAAATAAAGTTTCATAATAAAGTAATACTAATATAAATAATTTATACATATATATTGTACTTAGGCTTTAAAAAAGATGCACTACATACATATAAATGAGTTATTATTTTTACCATCAATAAATAAATATTTTAAAAGGAATATATTAAGAATCCTATAAAATAACGTTAATAAATTATATTTTTAAAGCATCACAGAAATATAAAACTATTGAACATTCTTATTTTGTCGCTTATAAAAATTTTTTATCCATAGTATGTTTTTTTACAAACAATTCATTAATACAACATAAATGATATATTTATTTTTATTAATATCTCTATTTAATTGTGATAATAATGCATAAATTGTTTTATTATATGCATCACGTGTTACGCTATGGCAGACGTGTATTAAGTGAAAATATTACAAAAAAATGATTGTTTTCTTATAATGTTAATTATGTGTGTAATATATCCTTACATACTCTAGATATATATAGTATTATAAATATAATATTTTTAATAAATATAATTAGTCATAATAATTAAATATTAAAATTATATAAGAGTGATAAATTTTTTTATTTATAAACGTAATGATATACAGCACATCGTAATTATAATTTAGTGTATTTGATATTTTTCTAGTACAAATCGAATACATTAATATTTTTTACATATTCGTACATCTTCACCGTTAACTATTTAAGTTTTATATATATAAATTTAAGATACGAATTAACGTACATAAATGTAAATTTTTACTCGTTCTATCTATATTATTTATATAAGTTTATTTATATTACAAAATAATTCAGTAAGTATAATGATTTCATAAACATTATTGTATAAATCATATAAGGATGTTGTTCAGAGTTTAAATATTGTATTTTTTTTATATATTTGCATTATTTTATATTTCATTATTTATAATGCCACAAAGTACTAGTTCTCACCTTTTTTGGTATAGAATTTAACCTAATTTTAAGTTTTAGTTTAATGCAAAAAACAGTTATTGAATAATTAAATAAAAATTATATCAACATAATGAATTATATTAAAATTGATTTTATCTTTACCTTCCATTTAATTATCATATAATATAGTATTTTATGTTTTTTTATACATAATAAATTTATTGTAAATTTTGATAACCGAATATATTTGTAGTTCATTCTGTATATTATAAAATTTATATCTTTCCTTTTTTTAAACATATTTTTAAAAATAATAAAAAGGTATTATGAAATTTTATCACTACATTTATCAGTTTATTTTTGTATATATTTTTTTCAATGTCTATACACATATTTGTTATACAGGTTTATTGATTTTATTGTAGTACTATTTCATAACTCAGCTCTTTTCTTCAGTAGACTTCTGGAATATATGAAATATAACTCCTTCTATTTTTTTTATCACGATATATATTTTCATGAGAATCCATTATACCTCGATATTCATTATTTTTATTTTTGAAGAACACATTCTTTAACTTCTGCACCCTTGATTGCACAAGGGCGCCAAATGTGGTATACTGTTAAAAAAGGAAAAAGGAGATATTTTTATACGCAGAAAATTTATTTCACATAAATTTTTCATATTAATATGTATCTCCTATTTTATATCAATATATATTTAATGAATAAAATTTAATTTTAACCTTATACAAAATTAATACAATTATTAATATTGTAAAGGGTAAAATTATAAAGTGTTTCCTTATCGATGAATTTGTTCCCAATTCTGTGCTTGTCCTCAGAAGTTTACCTGCCATCTGTACATCAATTCCCACATCTTCCTGCCTTTCTATTTTTGCTTGTTTTGTAACTGCTGCTTCGCTTGAAATCTCTGCTTGTCTTGTAACTGCTGTATTGTTTGTAACTCCTGTTTGGCTTACGATATTATTAGAAATAAATTTAAAGAGTTCAAATTTATTCACATTAGGACATACTTTAATGTATTTTTCATTAAGTTTTAAGAGCATATTTCTGAAAGTACCATCATTGCTATATTTGCATGAATTCAAATGTGATATATAAGGCCTATAAATATCTTTTTCTCTCTGCCAACAACTCCTCCCACGAGTGCTTTCTATCGTATAAATAGCATCATATAATTTATCCAAATAATTGAATATTGTATATGTTTCATTATCAATGTCTATAGTACTTCCCTCACACATAGGAAGTACGTTTTTTAATTTCTCATTTTTTGCATTTATCAAATATTTGTAACAATTATTTACTCCATTACAATTGCGATTATTATATTTTATTGCTTCCTCTAATTTGTAACTGAAATATTTACAACTTGTTTTTTTACTATCTGTATTAAGGCTTATATGATATAAATAGCGACCAAGATCAGAGCATGGTAACACAAATGGCGAAGAATTGTTTCCCCCTACTAATTTACTAAATTTTTCGCATACGTGATTCAATCCTAAACTGTTATTTATACCACGATGTGCGTTTATAGCCTCCTTAAAATCATATTTACACTTTGGAAATATTTCATTAAAATCAAACTATGAATGAAAATTATATTGAATACAAGAATATAAAATATTTTAAATAAATTTTTATTAATTTAATTTCACAAATAAAGGTATTATATATAATGAAATAAAAATTAAATGATTATGAACAAAAAAAATATACATTTGTATTCTCACTGCTTGACTCGAGCATTTTGTATTATATCTGTGAATTAATGTAAGAGAAAGTATTTTCTTTTAATCATTATATATATTTATATTTTATAGATATAATAATAAATATTATGTATTTGGAATATTTATTATTTTTTATAATTTTCTAAATTCATCAAAAAACTTTAGACTTCTCTAATACATACAGTTATTGATAAATATGTTAATATATAGTATTTCGTTATTCTATATGTCTTATGAAATAAATATATTATATAAATGCATAATAAGTAAAATAGATTTATGTTATTAGGATATATAATAATTTTTAATAGGAAGTACAATAATCGCAATAATTAAAAATTTTGCATTAAAAAAATAAAAATTATTCTCTATTTAAATAAATATATATAGTATATATATTTATATAATCATTATGTTTATACTATAATATTTTTTCTAATATTTTTTTAATTTATAGGATCACAATGGATATAATTATAATTCTCAATTATATATTATATTTTGAATAAGTTTTTCATTTTTATTTTTGGTATTATATCATTATGCCGAACACATTTTTTTATACTACTTTTTTTATTCCTATGGAATAAATGATATTAATCTGACAATATAATTTATTTATCTAAACCTTGTTTCCATTTATGAATTACTAGGAATTATTAAATACGCATTAATATTATATAATATTTATTATTATATATATTCAATGCAATTTAACATTTTAATAGTATGCATACTAAATTTTAGTTATATATAAACTAATGATTGCTTACCTTTATATAAATATACATATAACCCTAATAGTATAAAAATTTTATTTAAGGACTGTTGTTCAAGATTTAGGTCTCAGGTTTCAGGGTTCAGGGCTCAGTGTTCATGTTTTATGGTTCAAGGTTTAGGGTTTAGTGTTCATTGTTTCAGTGTTTAGGGTTCATGTTTTCTAGGTTTATGATTATGTGTTTCATGATTTTAGGATTTTTTGATCACTTGGTTTTAGGATTAGGGGTTTGGGGTTTAGGTTTTTGTGTTTATGGGTATAGGGTTTAGGGTTTAGTGTTTAGTGTCAGTGTTTATAGTGTTTATGGTTTAGGGTTTTGGGGGTTAGTTTCAGTGTTTATAGTGTTTAGGGCTTAGGGTTTGGGGTTTAGGTTTTTAGTATAATTTCTCTATACTTCAGGCTTTGTGCTGTAATTTTCAGGCTTTATAGGACTTTTTTTATGTTTATTATCCAGAATTTTATGTTCTGTGTTTATCGTTTAGTGTTCAGTTTTATGAATTTGTTTATATATTTAGTATTTTTATATTTATTTTTATTTT